ATTAATATTTTTATAAAAAAAAATAAAAGACTTTTTTTCCTTATTTATTATTATATTTAAAACGCCGTTTTAAATAACTTTAAAATTTAATGTAATTATTTCTTTATTTAAATATATCCCGCGCTTTTCTTATATAAAACGTTTACGTATTTAATAATTAATCTTATTTTTTACTTTATTTTAATTTTAAATATATTTAATAAAAGATTTTAATATATTTAAAAATAAACGTAAACCTTTAAATTAATTAAGTAAATATTTTATTTAAAATGATATATTTATTTTATACCTTTAATTATAATTAATAACATATAAAGATTTAATCTTTTTTTTTATTATTATAATAAGTTTTTTAAAACGTTATTTTATTTTAAAATAAGTTTTAAAAAATGTTATATAAATAATTTATTGTTTTATATGTTTAAATATCTTCGATAATATATTATAATAATTTATTAAATCTTTTTTTATTTGTTTTTATATATTAATAAGTATTATATATAATAATAACTTTAACGGTAAAATTTTATTTATTATTTTTAATATTTTAAATATATTATATAAAATTAAGTAAATTTAAATATTATAATTAAAAATAATAATAATTAAAAACTATAATATTAATTAATAATAATTTAATTATTAATAAATAAAAGCGTTTTAAATTATTTTAACGTAATAATATATAATATATATTAAAATAAGTTAATTATTTAAACTTTTTATAACTTAAAATTTTTTTAAATAAATTAAAAATAAAAAAATAAAAAAGTTAAAAAAGTAATAAAATTTCGAAAAAAAGTTAAGATTTTAAAAATAAAAAATTATTTATTATTAAAAATTAATTTATTTTTATTATTTTAATAACGTTATTATTATTTTTAATTAAAGTGGCGTTATAATATTAATTATAACCCTTTTTTTTTACTTAATAATTATTTAAACCGTTATTAAATAATTATTTATTATTATTATTATTTTCTTTTTTATTATTTTTAACCATTTTATATAATTATTAACTTTTTTTATTTACGATTATTAAGTTATTTTTATTACGTAATATAAGGAGATTTTATTATAACGTTTTTTAATTAAACCGAATAATTTTAATATTAAATTTATTAATTTTATTTAATAATAAAAGGTTAACTTTTACTTGTAAAATATTTAATGTATTATATAAAGTTTACGTTATTTTTAAAAATTTATTTATACGTTTTTTTATATTATTATTATAATATAATTTATAAGCATATTTAATAATTTTAATTTTAATAAATATTATTAAATATTTATTATTTTAATAAAATTTAAACGTATTTTTTATATTAATTTAAGTAATAATAATATATAATTTTATAAAAAATAAATAATTAAAAATAATATTTATATTATAAATTAAATTTTTATTAATTTTAATATTAAAGGTAAATTTATTATTAATATATTTTAATGTTAAATTAATAACTTTTTAATTACTTTTAACGGTAATATATTAAATAAAATTTAATTAAAAAATATTTATAATTAACTTTAATTTAAATATATCCGGGTAAAAAAATTAAGTAAAATATAATATTTTTAAATTATAATTATTAAATTTATTATTATAGAAATAAAATGGATAATTAAGGTATAATTTACCGTAATATATTAAAATTTAAAAAAACGCATGTATTTATAAACTCGCGTAAATGTTTTTACGTGCTTTTAAATTTACACGTGAAAATCCGTCGAAAAGATTTAATCTTTTATTAATTTCTTTATTATTTATTAATAAATTATTTATTAATTACTTATTAATTTCTTTATTAATTTCGCATAATAATTTTTAAAAGTTTAAACGTAAAAAATGTTTTTAACGGATAATTTTTTAATTATATAACGATTATTATTATAAGTAAATAATTAATAATTATTATATATTAATAATAGTTTTAAAAATTAATATTAATAAAATTATTTTAATTATTTTTATATTTATTAAATTAAATTTTAAACGTAAAAATTTAATTTTAAATAATTAATAATTTTTATTTTAATATTTTTAAGGAAATATTTTTTAAAATTTTATTAATAAATTTATAATTAATGTTATATTTAAATAAATTATTTACGTTAATAAAGTTATTTATTAAAAAAGTAAAAATTTAAATATAAAAAGAATCTTATAATAAAAGTAAATTTTAATAATATATAATGCAATTTTTATTAATATATTAATTATAATTAAAAAATTAAACATTTTTTAAAATTTATAAATTTTAAAATATATAAAATATTATATATATAAAATTTAATATAATATAAAAAAATATTAAAATAAAAAACAATTATTATTTTTAATTATAAGTTTTTTTAATTTTAAGTTAAAAAGTTATAATAATATAAATAAAAAAAATAACTTTTTAATTTTTATATATAATTATTAATTATTTATTATATTTATTATATTTAAATAAGTTATAAAATAATTTATTATAAATTTAATAAATATTTAATATTTTTCTTTTATTTTTATTAATAATAAATGTTTATAAAATATAATTAATTTTATATTTAAATTTAATAATTTTCGAAAAAAAGGCGATTTTTTTAAAAGATTATAATTTAAAAATTAAACGAATTAAATTAATTATTAAATATTTAATAATTTTAACCTTATATTTTAAAAAAGGAAAAAAGTAAATAATTAATTATTTTTATTAAAATAAGATTAATATATATCATTAAAATTAATAAAATAAATTATATATCTTAAAATTTATTATAATAAAATAATTAATAAAGTTTTATATAATATTTTTATAATTTAAATTTAAATCTTAAATATTATTTTTAAAATTAAAATTATTATATATAAATATAATAATTAAATTATATATAATTTATTTAAAACTATTTTACTTTTTATTAATTTAATATAACATTTAAATTAAAGTTATTAATATATATTTTAATTTATTTAATTATATTATTTAATTATTTAAAAATATTTTTATATTTTAAATATATATTATATTAAATTAATATTTTTATTATTTAACGTTATATTTTATTATTATAAAAATATATTTTAATAAATATAAGTAATATATTATTTTAATTAAATGTATAAGTATTTAATAATATAATTATAATTATATATATTTTAATTTTATATAAAAAATAATGTTAATTTTAATTATAATGTATAATTTTTAATTAATTTATTAATTAATAAAAATATTTATTAATAATAAGTTAAATTTAAATATTTTAATTATTAATTAAAGTTAAAAAAATTAATAAACATAATTAATTTAATTTATATTATAAATATTTTTAATAATATATAATTTATTATTTAACGTAATAAATAATGTAAGGTTAAAAATGTTAAAAATAAGTTAAAAAATTAAATAAAAAAGTTTTTTTTAAAATTTAAATATTTAGTTTTTTTAATTATTATTTTTATTATTTTTATTATTTTTATTATTTTTATTATTTTTATTATTTTTATTATTTTTATTATTTTTATTATTTTTATTATTTTTATTATGTTTATTATTTTTATTATTTTAAGTAATTTTTTTATTTCTATTTAAAATATATATTTTAATATTAATTATATTTAAATATTTAAATTATTTTATTTAATTTTTTTTATTAATTATTAAATTTAACGTTTTTTTTAAAAGTTATTTTTTTATAAAATGTTAAAAGTTAAAATTATTTTTTTAATTTTTTAATGGTTAATATTTTATTATATTAATTGTAATTTTAATTAATATTTAATTATATAATAAAGTGAAATTTTCAATTTTATTTTTATTAATTTTATTATTAAAGTTATTATTTACTTTTTTTTTAAAAATAAATATAAACGGTATAATATTAAAATAATTAATTAATTTAAATGTTAATAAAATTATATTTTTATTATATAATAATTAACGTTAAAAAAAATTTAAAAATTTATAATATTAAAAAAAACGGGGTAAAAAAAGTAATAATAATAAAGTTAAAAAAAAACAATAACGGTAAAATTTTTATAATTATAATAATAATGTAATAATATTAATAATATAATTAATAATTAATAATTATATTATAAATAAATAATTATATTATTTAAATTAATTATTAAATTTTATAATTATTATAAATAATTATTTATTAAAATAAAATGTCTTTACCGTAAATTAAGTTTTTAAAAAATACGTATTTAAAATAACTTTAAATTAAAAATAAAATATTTTAAAAAAAAAGTTATACGGGTTATAATTAATTAAAAAAGTGGTGTGGTTAAAAAAATACATTTTTTTTTAAAAAAAAATATCGAATAATTAATTTAAAGTCATTTAAAATAAAAAAAAGTAATATATTATTTAAATAAAAATTTATAATTTTAAAAATATTTATAAACGGTTTTTTAAAATAAAATAATTTTTTTTAAAATATATATATTTAAAAATATAATAAAAATTATCGAAAAAAATAATAAAAATAAAAATAAAAATAAAAAATTTATTAAATATTAATATATTAAATAAAAAATAAAAATAAAAACGTTTTTAATTTTTAAATAATAAAATTATATTAAATTTACATTAATATATATATATAATTAATAATTAATTAAACTTTAACTTTTTTAATTTATATAAATTTTTTAATAAATTATATTTATTATAAAATCATTTTAATATAATAAATTTATAATTTAATTTTATAAAAAACCTATCATTTATTATATAATAATATTATATATAATTAATTACTTCGATAATTTTTTTAACATTTAAGTTCGTAATATAATTTAAATCTTTTTTTAATATAATTTACATGTTTTAAAGTCGTAAACGTACTTAAATAACGATAATCTCGTGAAAGCTTACAAGCTCACCTTAATTCTTTACTTTAACGACCAGTAAGAGGTTGTGGATTTTAGATACATTCGTAATAATTGGGACGCTTAAATGACATGGATATGGGATCCGACCTGCGGGCGTGGTAACATGCCTATCCTTGAGTGCTCCATAGAAGCTTCAGGGGCGTTTGTCAATTTTCGGTTGGCGATGACGAAGCGTGGATATTTCTGCCTAGTGCCACGATATACACGGCTTCATGATGCAGTGAGCATCTTGGTAGGGTATGGCCTAAGTGTAATTATTCGTCCCTGGCAACCACCCTCACTTCGCGAGAACAGTGGCCAATGTCATAAAAATCCTCCGGGCGCCACAGAGAAGTCAGAATACTTTGAACTAATTGGAGATTGCTTTATCCACGGGATGATGAACGAAGCTCCATGTCTCATCGAAGAGTTCAATTGAAAACCTAACCCTCCATTAACTAAACCGGATGTTATGAGTAAAGCTTCTAAGGCCAGGGATGGAGAATCTTGGAAAACACTCGGGCTTAACAGCGGATATGAAAGAATACTAGGGACGTTGGGTGAACGCTTTATAAAACTGGTTTGATAATCTAATTTGCTGGAACTTATCGTCGACTAGGACCTTGCTAGTTTTAGGAGGCTTAGTTAACTAGACGATATTAAGAAAAGTATCAATGACAATAAATATACGCGTTTCTACTAAGATCTGAGATCACTTGCCCTTGAATAACACTACCGAGAGTGTAAGGACCGTGATGTATAGAAGGCAGCTAAAGCAATCATTGGGCAGGCTATGCCAGCGGAACCAGAGCTAACATCACAGTATCGAACACTATCTATTTTCTTTTGGACGATTCTTGGGGGGAACTAGATAATCCAGGCCAGAAGGTAGGTTCATAATATATCGCGGTACAGTCTTCGAACAACAAATGCTCATCCAGAGCACATGGTATTATCTCGCCCGCGCATATAACGTAACTACTTGCCTAATTAATGTGGGCTCAGGGGTCACCTAGTTCAACTTAGGAGAAATATTGATTTTCCGAAAAAAGAGGTCGAGGGAAGAGATTCTAAAGAAGACTAGAAGTCGACATGATATTTTTGTTTGCTACCGCCCGGGAGCTATACTTGGTTAATATTCTTATTTTATACTATTTTGTTCAAATAGTTAGATACTTACGAGTAATCCATACGTGGATAATCTTAAGGAGATTTTTTACCATGTTGTTAATGTCTTTAGTTTGTAATGAGGTGCGAATAACCAAAGAGTAAAGGCAATTGGGTCTTAAAGAAGCTCTGGCGAGTTACGAGGGACTTCTAAGTCGAAGCGCTGGGCCAGACTGGACCAGTACACCACGACCAACGCTACCTAGGTATCCTTTGCACTTGCCTACATGAGATAATGACTAGGTTGTTGGCCTGCCTTCTAAATTTGGATTCAGTATTAGGTACACTATGACACCCTTCGTACCTTCCTGTGATGTAGCTTCTATCTTCAATATGATGGAGAGTGCGACCAAGGAAGGCATGGTATTGTATTACCCATGTGTATTTAAAATAGTCTTTTCATTACGTTTCTACACATTCAACTCCAACCCCAACACCATCATTACATCCTTCATCGTATTCATAGCACTCCGATGCCATATAATCATACGGGTTGAACTTTACCTGAATATTTTCTTTGAACGAAAGGCATCCCTTACCTTCTATCTTTGGTTAGAATATTAGCCATTTAGTCTCCAACCATCTCGCAACGTTTACAATGCCCGAGACTTTCCACTCATTTGGCCGTCTCCCGCCGGAACTGAGGGACAAGATCTGGAAGCTTGCAATCAGACCTGGTGGCACTGCTCGACGGGGTGCACACATATTCAGCATTCATAGAGGAAGCGGGCGTAACATTGAAAATGCCGTCGTAGTAGCTGCCAGTGGTTTCAAGCTTCATCTGGCGGCTCCGAAATACGAGCCCAGATCTATTGACACCGGCTTGATTGTCACTTCTGGACAGGAGGTGACCAGTTCATGGACACACCACAATTTTTCAACGTACCTTATTGATGGAGGCCTTTGGAACGCGTGTAAAGAGTCTCGACTTGTCATCGAACGCGTTTTCGATAGCGAAAAATGGGATGCGGCCCGGGGTGCGTACCCGCCGTCGCCGGCAACGAGTTATTTTCGTGGTGATGACTCAACTAACCGCTACTTCACCGTTATCCCATCCGAAGACCTCTTTTACCTCCAGCCGCAAACATTCGGCTACTTTATGTTGGAATGTATCGGCAAGTGGAACGGCGTCGCTCTTGGATCTAGACGATGGGGCTTCACTGGCCTAGCCAATATCGCTTTAGAGTATGACCCGGCGTGGGGGATTCTAGTAGAGAAGACTGATCCGGATACGAGAGATCGCTTGATTATTATCGACTTAATCATCAAAACCTTATTCCATGCAAAGGGCTTGTCATGTATCTGGTTCGTCGACTACAGGATCAAACAAAGATGCTATGTGCCAACCAAGAAAGAGGCCTCGTGCAAGGGACCCATAATCTTCTATGGTAGCGACCGTCGCTTTGTGGAAGTACGAGGAGGAGTCGATAAGTGGGAGACAGACTTTGAGGACGACGCCGGGATTAACAGCAGCTGCTGTAAGTTTATCGATGCGGTGGAGTACGTTTTAGAAGATCGGATGCTGCCTTTCGACATGTCGGGGTCGGGTGGTATTTGGCCCCCCCATTTTGGCGTCCTCGCCTGTGAGTACGTTTGAGCTGAAGGAGTAAGGATTGAATCTAAAAGCCGACTATACATGTATCGAATTACAACTCGTTTGCCCTTGAGCTTGTGACTCCGTTATGGGACTGAACTTGATAATTAGTTGATACAGGGAAAGAAATAAGCGTGATTTATCTATACAAAAAATCGAGACTCCAAAGAGGTAGTTAGATGCTTTATTTCGAAGCATTAGGTAGTTTTAAATGAGGGGCATTAGGTCCCTCTTTTCGTTTAGGCGATGCTATTAAATAGATAGGCTCCAATCATCTGGTACCTATCAATAGAAATCTCTACAATCTACCTATCCAGTTTGCCAACTCCTGGCGCCGACGAAGCTTGATATACGCCAAGATCCTTATGCAACATTGTTAGCCTGCGACTAGTCATGTTTGTCTTCCCAGTCTACTGCACTGCCGAGGTGCCAATTCCAGTGAGCATTGATACTATCTCGAGATGAACTGCACTGATGTCACGCGGGTGGAAAGGTAATGGAAAAGTTCCTTCGCGATGCACTTGCTGGAAGTGTTGACTTGGCCCCGGGTAGCGATTATTGTCTCGCTATTATTACAAGGGCCGACGAAGTGCCCTCTGGGGCGTCAAAGCCACCATTGCAACCATTTGCCTCCCCATTCCTAGGACAGTCTATAGAAGATATATCTCGTCAACTGAACGGGGCGACATACTTCGCTATCCTAGACGAGCAATCCACGCCGGATGAAACGGTGATCCTGGGTGAGCATAGAGACGGCAAAGTTGAGACCGTTCGAGTCACCTTCTACTCGGCCCAGTCTCTACTCACTTCATTTTATATCGGTACTTTAGGCTTCTTCGAAATCCAATACAATGCGGCTAGAGAAGGAGGTGTCTATAAACAGGAGAAGCCCGAGGCCAGGAGGAGGGGTGGACCGGCTCCTCGGAAATTGCTTGAGTCTCGTCGATTGGGATAAGAAGCGAATAGTATTTATCCGTGCCGTGCTTGGGATAGGAGGAGGGATTGCTGCTTACTTAGAAATGCTATTGTAGGAGCCGAAGTGTATTATCACTGCACATGAGCTACCTATCAAATCTCATAATGACCAGGACTAGGTGGCACATCACCAGAGTCCCACGCAGTCCTCTCGGCACCAAGCTCAAATTCCAGCAAGCTGTCCTCTCCGTTAGGCCGGACTATGTCATCATGACTGACCCAACTTTGGTTCCACGACTGTCCGTTGACTTTTAGGCTCTGAATATACGGCCCCTCGTCCAACCCTGTAGCTCTAATGCTTAAAACAGCGCCGGACTCCCCAACGCTCACAGTGATATTCTCAAATCGTGGGGAAAGGATCAGATACACAGGTTGTGTGACAACCGGGTAGATACCGATCAAATTCCAGATTAACCAGCTGCTCATCGCACCGGCATCATCGTTTCCAGGGATTCCGGAGGGACCCGTATTGTAGAATTGATCTACTACCTCCCGTGATCGCTGAACTGATTTATGCTGCCGCTTCGAGAAGTAATTATACAAGAACGGTGTCATGAAGCTGGGTTCATTACCCGGGTTATAGATAGTCGTGCCAGCACCATTCCCGCCTACGTTCGACCCTGCAAGACCCGGTATAAACATGGTGTCTAGTCTTGACTCCGCTTTCGTCGGGCCTCCCATCCGAGAGATCAATGACTCCATGTCAAATGGGACAGTCCAGCTATACTCCCACCTTTGAACGATGAAAATTAGTATATATATGACTTTGTTAGGAGATGCATAGTGTTCACTTACGGGACACCCTCGTAGGTTATACTACTCCATTCGCAGGCGCCGCATGATATTGGATCGTAGTCCTGATAGCTGCCATTCGGCCACGTGGGCGCTAAAAATCCGGTGAAATTCAGCGACGTTACGTCTGAGGCCCATGTCCTCTGCCAGCCCCTGTTTGTTCAGTTAGCAACGTTTACCAGCTCTCCCTCACAGTAGCAGGAACTTACGCAGAACCATTGAGATATTTGGTAGCGTCGTTCGGTGCTTCTCCCTTGGCTACTTGATATACCGAGAAGTCGTTTAATGAGTACTCGACGGTCTTACTCAGAGATCGTCCAAAATTCGGGCTGACATAACCGTATTGCCTCCAGTCTCGAAGTGCGCCTCGACCCTCCTTAGTGCTCCCGGTCAAATCCTCCGGGTCGAAATTGTTGAAGGGCAAGTCATCTGCGTCGCTCTTCATGGCCGCATAACCATCCGTCCAATTAATACCCCCTCGAAGGCCCTTCACATAAGAATCGGCCAACACATTATCAGCGTTAGAACCGCCTTGTACTCGTCCGTTAAAGTTGTGACTTCTCCCGTCTGGCATAAATCCTTCAAACCGCCAAATGTCTATTAGAGCTCTAACGATCTCGATTTGTGTCCTCGGTTGAATCAACACGTAGAGGGAGTGGAGGCATCTGAATGTGTCCCAAATGGTATAAAAATCGTCATAATATGGCTCATCTGATTCCCAGTATGGATTATCTCCAGTTCTGTTCGAAGGAAGTAGGTGGGCATGGTACATAGCCGTGTAAAACATTTCCAATTGGGTGTAGTTCATCGATGTGACGTCAATCTTCGAGAATACGTCTGAGTTCCACTGGTCTTTCGCGGCATCTCGAACATGCTCTAAATTCCAATGCGGGATTTCGTCGAGGAATTGGCACGCCTTGTCTGTCGAGACCCAAGATACGCCAACCTTGGAATTAACTGTTGTGACGTTTGAGGGAAATTCGAACAAGGCCCCAACACGGTCTGCGTATTGGTATCCTATGATTCCACCGTCGATACTGGTGTCATTGGTGAAAGTTGCTGTAGAATTCTTTGTGCTGGGCCAGTATGGGTCTGTTGCTTTACCCGAGAAGAGTTGAGACTGCGATGGGGTAGAATCGAATCGAGCGCAGAAGTATACTCGATAGTCACCCCCTAAATCTTGTTAGCATATCAAGTATAAAGAACTTGGCAGTAACTGACCAGTGGACCAGCCCCCACGATATACACCATAACCGGAATAAGAAGTACCATCATCGCTACGGTCGATTTTTCCATTGCTATAGAACTGTCCTTTGTCTCCAGTGCTGGGGAGATAATGGCTAATGTCGACCAGAATATAGCGTCCATCCGAATTGTTAGGGTATGTGTATCTAATTATTCCGGCGTGCATAGCAGCACTCATCTCAGCAGTGACACCATTCTGTAGCTGAGTCTTATAGTATCCGACCTCAGCCACGTCTGGGGAAACTCGCGGTTGCATATAAGTCATATTGTCTAGTATATTCACACCGTCAAGGCTCGTAAGGGGCATTTGAGGTATAAGCCCATAGGTTGGTGCTCCACCCGTGCCGCTCTCATGTAACATCGTGATGGCGGTAACATTTGAATCTGGGGTATAGCCGCCGTTCGCGGTAACTGAAGTGATCAAAATGAGCAATCAATGAACTACTAGCTGAAAAGCTAATTAATGAGTTACGGAGTGAAAGTTCCTCGGAAAGTGATTCGAAGCGGGTTTTCTCTTGCCCATCTCGTTCTGCGTATATCTCCCAAACGTCACTGTTGGAGGTAAACTTACATGAGACATTCAACCTAATTGGGTATTAGCCAAGGGTCGACACCAAAGTCTCCTCGTGTTACAATAATACATACTCGGCCGTATCAATCCCAACTTTAACAGCGCCAAAAGGCAGACTGGCTCCGGGAAATACATTACCAGAATTATAAGATGTGCCCGGGTCGGGGCCCTCAGTGCCAATAAAGAGATTAACATGCTGCGTTCTGTCCTCCGCACCAGCTGCAAGGTGCTTGGTGATAAGCACCGGGACGACAGCAATAAGACTCCAGGGCAATTTCATCGCTGTAGGCTGCGGTCCTAAATGCCTAATAGAAATTTTGTACGAATACAAGCAGCATAGATCTTAATGCTATAACGAGACTTGTCAAAACCGAAGTCTGGTAGGGGGGACCTTGACGGAATTTTCACGTAGATGAATCTCTATATACTGATAACCACGTGTTCATACCATCGAAGTCCTTTGTTCGGACAGCTCCCTTAGATCCCATGACGGGACTCATGCAAGTTGTATGCTCTCTTCATACAATATCCAATCTCAATCAACTCCTCAACCATGCTACCCCAGATGACTCCATAGCATTCCCCGCAATACCCCAAGCTTCTCCCATTCCCTGGCCTTTGAAGATCCTCGCTAAGCCGCTTCCGGCTTTCATCGCTACCAAAATTCTGGATTCGTCTTTAATCTCCCCTCGAAATTGGAACGTTTTACATGATTTAGTTTCCGAGCGGACTGCAAGTCTTAATTGTTGACGTATACTGCCTTCCGTCGGGTCCTATCACATCAAAGGACCATAGTACTTAGGCACAGCAATCAAATCCCATGTGTTACGACCTTATGGATAGCAGCATTAAGCATCGCGGGGTATGTCTCCGAGCAACTCCCGTCACATCCGATGTCAATAGCAATTTCATTGATACCCACGATATCTTCTCGGTCATGTCTCGGAGTCACTATGTTTCCTTAATAGGGGATTGTCCCATATAGCACAAATCGTATAGACATTTAACCTTTCAGAGGTGTTGCGTAGGTAGTAAGCAGCATCCTCTCCAATTGTCGTCACCGCGTCGTATACCGGGTGGGTCAAGATACGTGACGGCGACATAATGTCTTCCATTCGTCCCAGACAATCGGTTATAACCGGTTCTCATCGTAAACTTGACGGAACTTCGCTCACTACCCATGAACGTCTCCGTATGTCCTCCACAGAAACAGTCCGGCTAGAGCAGCAAAAGCGCCCCAATGACCGAAGGCCTTCCCCCTAGCTTCATCTCCGCCGTAAAGCCAGACTACGATGCCGTCGCCTAATCCTGCAAGAGACATGACGGCCGTCATGATCGTGACAGCGCCGTCGTACCCATGATATTGCAAAGCTCCCAATGCTAAACCGTATGTGGTCTCGCGGATGCCCTTTAAGTGAATTACTGGAGATGCGTACTCCTCGTCGCCCGTGTTGTGTTTCTGCCGGTGCGCAGGTTCTAGCGGTAAGCCGAAACGGCGGTATTCTACTTCCGGGCGTAAGAAGCAGTGAATGCCAAGAAACACACTTCCGGCCCCGATGACGTAGACGAGTATAGGTGACGGAGATGGCATATTGAATTCGGTTGATTCCTTTGCAAATATTTATATATATAGAATATGGAATATTTACGTCCTGTTAAGTCGCGCCTCTATATGTTGGGACAGGGAAGAATATGGGTTCGCTATGTACGTGGCCGGGTCCAACGTGTTATCAGAATGGCAAGACACCAGAGATACATAGCAGCTATGCCAGGGTCAACACCTGAAATCTGGTTCCAGAGACGAGAATTGATGGCTGTCAATTTACTTGAACTCTCATAACTAAAAGTAAACTGAATGACAAGTATCTCGGGCGTGCTTTCTACTAAGTAGGATAATCAAGGTGCTCTTACGTTGATAATTCCATTATTTAAAACTGTAGTCTAAACTATAACTATACCTATTAATTTTGTCACTTCAATGCTAGATACGTCGTAGATAAAATCTTGGGTGATAATAAAGTACGGCAGCAATCTTATATTCCGTAGTCTAGTCTTTTACAACACGGCTTTGGAGATATATAAAGATAATATTTATATGAATGTGTATTTACTCGTGCTGAGCTTATCTCATTCGCTTCGTACCGTCTCTAGATATTAAGTTAATTAGACTTGAAAACGGAAACGTCTAGCCTCAAGAAACTACTAGTCTCGAAACCCTTAATTTGGGAGTCGTCCCAGGTCCCAGGTCCCAGGTCCCAGAAGGTTCGTAACGCCCACGTGCGGATGTGGATAAGTAACGTCCGTGCGGGTTATCCGTCGAACGACGAAACGAACGATAGAAGAATAAAAACAAGTCGTCTCCACTAAGCTAGAGCTTTACCTTGGTTAATGGGCTACCGGATCGGATGAATGTAGGTAATATTCTATGTACAAGCTGGCCCCGGAGCGACATACGCGATACCGTAAGTGCTAACTACGCCGGGGGGAGACTTCGCGGTGTGGCGACATGGATAATATCACCGAACTGGCTGGCTGGGTGTGTTAGTTGCGACAAGGCCGAGCTTTGTTATCCTAGCTGCAGATCCTCTGACGAACAGGGACGCAGGCTTCGTTATCTTTTCTGGTTCTTAATCGAATGAACGTAGGTGGAGTCACATTCGATCTGGGGTTGAAGCCGCGATGGCGTTTCAGCGTAGAAATATAAAACCAAGGCTGTCGATATGAAGTTGATTACACGTGATTTTGTTAGAATGCGTACCTATGGATGAGGATTTGCATCATGTAGTCTTCTGTGACAGAAATAATAAGCCATTCAGATGAACTTTGATAGGTATACGAAAGCGTTTCGAGAAATACGTAAGTTCGTTTTGGTCTGATGTGAGGTCTTGTTGCAGGGGTTCTGATATTGTATCGCATCGCCTTGGCGCACTGATTCACACAAGGAACTTGGTTTCAGATCCACGCTATGGCTGGCCGATGTGAGACTCTTTTGCTTCACGATCTCGTACCCCTGTCTGGTCTCCTTAAGATGTTTCCTCTGATTATCGATCATGTTCCTTGTATAAATAAAAGAAGCTGGGAAGATCACTTCTAGCTATATGTAGATCATCACAACCGCACATCTATTGAAGATCTCGCAAAATACTCTCGTTTACTGTCACGATACTCACTATTTCTCTCATTGGGCAACTCTTCGTCAAGATCCACTCATTTAAACAACTAAGAGTGAGAATACACCGTCACATCACCATCATGAAGTTCTTCGTCCTCCCTAACGTAGCTACGATTCTCGCCGTAAGCACCTCATTTGTTGCGGCTTTACCTCTCGAAGCTGAAGCAAACACAATCAGCACAACTCGGAGTACTACAAACAATGACTGCTCTATGGACAAGATAAGAGAATGCGTTGCCGATACGGGGCTCGAAAGCACAATATGTTTCAAGCAAGTATGTGCTGGCGTGCAAGGAACACCGAGGAAAACCAAACGCCAAGACGACCAATGCACCGAAGAAAACCTCCTCCAATGCGCAGTGATGGAATGGCGGGAGGCCGAAGTGTGTTTCCAAGAATTCTGTCTGTAAAATGAATTATTTCCCCTCGGACATGAATGCGATTAGTTAGAACGAGGAGGAAGAGACGGAAATACGACACACGCGCCCCTCGTTTAAACCGTCATTCGGTGGAACGGAATCGGAAGATTATTTGTTTAGACCTAATAATACCTTCCGAGTTTAAGCAGCAATATCCACATAACCGGAGACATATTCTGTGGAACTCGGGGTTTCGGCCACGAGACGGAGTTCGTAGTTTTTGAACACGGATGAGATGTGGACCTCATTCATTTGGAGTGTACTTGTACTGTACTTTAAGGACGGCAGGGTCGGTCTTAGAGGACGCTTTGGCATGTCTGATGGCTGTTACGATTATATCTGCAAGCAGAATTGAATCAAATCAAGATAAAATATCGAGATACCCCTTTTGAATATTGACTTTTATTTATTGAGGAGCTATAAACTCTGAGTGTATACATTTTTATAAGTTGATAACTATGGTTAGTTGGGTCCTATTTGAAATGTGAAGAGCTCGATCCACAAAATGGTCTTAGAATTGATCGTTTACTTTGTCTCTATTGCTACCTTGCAAACGGGATTGGGCGGTAAGCAACCCCTGTTGATGACTAGAAGAAGTTGAGCTTCATTCTTATTGGACTCGCTTTCGTCGTCAAGATCGCTACCCAAGGCCATGCCGCGTTCCTAGCTCTCGGTTCTTAGGCTATGAATAAGTAAGAATATTCCTTGATCAGATTTAGAAACTGCGAAGAATATAAATGCCTGAATTCCGTAGTCTGATCTGGACATTTTTGTCTAAAGGAGTAACAAGCTGCTGCATACTAGCTAAAGCCGACTCTATCATTCCTGACATAAGTGTATATGTACGGTGTTGTATATTTGACAGGTTATTGACGAAATGATACAGGGCTGGAGGGTTCTACTCAAGCACGGATGACCTCCTCGCTTTTGGCGAAGCAATACTAACTTACAAGCTTCTCTCACCATCGCAAACCCGCCGGTGGCTGAAACCCGTGACACTCACCTCCTCGTCGGGCCTCTTCATCGGCGCACCGTGGGAGATCGCGGGGCGACAAGCTTATCTCAGACCAACGTCTAATCGACGTATATAGTAAGGCAGGCGACCTCGGCTCGCACCATGCGATGTATAGTCTGATTCCGGACTACGACCTCGTCGTAAGCGTGCTTATTGCCGGGCCTCAGGCCGGCCCTGGAACCACGCAGATCATAAGCTCGGGTGTGACGCAACTATTACTCCCAGCTTTCGAAGACGCTGGCAAGGAAGATGCTTTGGCTCGGTTTGTAGGTACCTACCGGGACGAGAAGAGCGACTCTAGTATTACGCTGGCCGTCGGTGATGAGGGACCGGGACTTAGCGTCGCGGATTGGACGGCTCGCGGCGAAGACGTGCGTGGGAATTGGCTTCGCTATCTTACCTCTCCGACTGACGATACTAGGGGAATGTACGTGTCGATGCGGCTGTACCCGTCCGACCTAAGCACTAGCTCAAGAATGGCGTGGCGGGCAGTCACCCAGCTCGGAATGCCAGAGCAGCTTGTTCAGATGGAGGCGCTCTTGTTCTGGCCGCAGGGTAGCTGTCTGACTTGGGCTTTGATGGATAGAGCCGTGTATGAGTTTGGTGCGCTTGATGAGATTGTTTCCAACTTGGTTGATACAGAAGCTGGAAGTACTGCTACTAGTGTTGACTTGGTTAGGTTTCGGGCGACATTGCAGAAGACTACGTGGTATTCAGAGCAGGTGTGCTTGAACTTGAGGATACCGAGCTCGATCTTCAGGCTTGGTGGATCAGATCTATGAATAATTTCGTAAAATTCTAATATATTATTTACCTCGCTTACCAGCGTTGTCCCCTAGAATAGGATCTAGATTCAAGGACTACGTTGAGCTCGCCATCTATCCTGCATGAACTTACATATCAAGTATCTCCTGATAAGTAGCCCCTTCACATGTTCTCTTCATGCGCATTGATAAGTGTTCAGTTGACTTTTACACCAGATCATGTTGACTTGGCAATTCCTTGGTTTCTTATTACCTCGCAATCGCCACTCCCTGTGACCACTTTCACAGCATTCTATAAACCTCTAAATATATATATCCCGCGCAGACCCAATGCAACCCTGCCGGCAGCCGTAGATAAATTACTTGTCATGCCGGATATGTGCTTCCGCCGGGTTCCAGTTTCTTGCATAGTGCATCATGCAGGGTCTATACGAGCATGAAATACTACCCACCTAGCTCTCTCGGAATGTCGTGATCGGGTACCGGCAGGAACTTCAGCATTTTATTGTGGTCTATAAGAGTTAGGCAGAAATGATCACGAATATTTGAAAGAGTTGGCAGAAAAATCCGTATTGAATTTTTGGGGAGCTAGTATTGCAAATGGCCATCCCGCTCAAAGTAGAGTCCCAGGCCTCTTATAGTGTTTCTCACACCCCAATCCCTTTGTAATCGTATATGTATAACGTGTTTGCGTGTTTCCCTCATCCCATACCAGGCGGACAAGCCTGACTATCATGCTTCTCATATTCGAGAAAAGAAAAGAACAGAAAAAAAAAGACGCTCCCGAGCGCCCAATGGAGAAATGAATCGGAAGACTCGCTCTTAGAATATATGCATCTGAAGAATAATATTGCTGATATAGAAGAATTAGCCGTAAGACAATTTAGTCTATGGGCCTAGAAATAAAGTGCCTGGACACTGTCCCGCAGAAAATGTGGCGCCTGCGTCACCACTCTTTAGTTCGTTTAGAACTTAAGGTTGGGAGTTGTGCACGCACACAATCCCTCAGGCGTGGAGGTCACTGTAGAGGTGACTACACTGATGATGGTAGACGTAGCACCACCGCCTACGGTTTCAAAGACAGTTGTGGTGCTGCCACCTCCACCAACAGTCTTAGTAACGGTAATTTCACCCCCGCCGACCGTCTTAGTGACCGTTGATGGTGCCGAACCAGTAACGGTGACGGTGGATGGCTCGATGGTTTTAGTCTTAGTGAGAACCGACGGCGCGGAGACTGTAATGGTAGACTGGACGATAGTTGTGGTACCCTCTCCACCTCCAACAGTCTTCGTAACGGTCGACTCGCCGCCACCGCCGACGGTTTTGGTAACAGTGGAGCCGGCCCCGACAGTCTTGGTAACCACGGACTCACCAGGTGCCGAGACCGTGACAGTAGTATCACCACCCCCTCTGCTAACAGTCTTAGTGATAATCGAGGGTGCTGGTGCGGAAATGGTAATGATAGTTGTCTTATCATCACCACCACCGACGGTCTTAGTAACAACTGATTGGGCGGGACCCGAGACAGTAACAGTAGGAGGGATGATGGTCTTAGTCTTGGTACCACCCTCACCCTTTCCGTCCCCATTGCCAACGGTGCTTGTCACGACAGGCGGCTGAGCAACAGAAGACTCCTCTCCAGGGTTCGAGACAGTTACGGTACGAATGACAGCTGAAGACGAGGAGCCAATGTTGATGGTAGTTGTGATAACCGTCTCAATAGGGGTCTCAGATGAGGCAGGGTTGGTCACCTAGAGATACGATATTAGAAACTGCTGAAGAGAAGGTGAGTAATTTGAAACTTACAGTCTTGGTAACGATGCCGGTGCTATCAGAGACAGTCACGGTAACGACGGAAGGCTTGTCGCCGCCTTTGTCACCGCCATTACCATCACTGTCGCCGTTTCCATTACCGTTGCCGTTGCCTTTGCCACCACCATTCGTGGGCGAAGCACCATCTGTAGTAGTAGTGACGCTAGGGACGTCACCGCTTCTAGAAGGCTTAGATCCCGTCTCAGTGACGGTAATTACAGAGTCAGTAGGGCCAGCGGGGGGAGTTGCGGTAAAAGACTCCACAATAGACGATGAGATCGACGGGGCTTCGGTGACCGGGCAGACGGTGGTAGTGACACCGATGACGCTCGTTATAAGGACAGTCGAGTAGGCATCTGGTGGGAGCGAAGTTAGGCCTGCGGTATCGGTAGCAGCCGGGCAGTTAGTGACCGTGGATGCGCATGAGATGATTGTCGAGACGGAAGTAACGCTAACAGTCAGCGTCGTCAAAGGGGCAGTTCCATTGAATGTGGCGTTCCCGCCTGTAGGGAACGGAGCAGTTGTATTTAAGAGCGGCGGAGACGTGATGGTCGGGCCAGCAATATCAGTCGACGTAGTGCTGTTGGCGACCACAGTCGAGCTGGTAACATCTGTGGATGAAGAACTGCTCAATGTCACAGTCGAGGTAGTGATATCCGTCGAAGACGAGGTACTGGCGAAACTAACTGTCGAGGAAGTAATACCCGTAGATGATGAGGTGCTGCTAATGGCATCGCTTGCCGTCACGGTCGATTCTAGTCCCTTCGTTAGCTTAGATCACTTTGTTGGTCTTCGGAAGGCTCGTACCGCTTATTGTCGAAGTGTCCGTTGGATATCCTACAGACGAGTCCGTGGGCGTGTCCGAAGTAAGAGACTCAGGGGTAGTAATACTACTACCAATCTTGGAGGAAGAAGTAACGATGCTGCTAATTTTAGAAGAAGAAGTAATAATGCTACTGCTAGCCTCGGAGGAAGAGGTAATAATACTGCTGGTGGTCTCAGAGGCAGATATGGACGAGTCGAATACAGACGTAGTGATTGTGCTCGGGGCAGCTACGGTTGTGGTTGAGTTCACGAATATGATATAGCGCGGGAGTTGCCGTCGTGCTGCTGTTCTATCCGCAAGCAGAAAGAAGGTGACGGCCAAAAGATCCTTTCTTCTAAACAGCATATTGAAAACAAACCGGTGTATATATTCTAAAAAGGAGAGCCGAAAAAACAGGAGAAAGGAATGGCTAGTCGAGCCCTAGAGAAGGAAAGCTCAAGACCGAGAAAAAGGAATGAATGAGAGAAATCACTTGCCCATGATATTTAACAAAGTGATAGGACGAGGGGAGTCTTTGGGGTTTTAAGACCTCGTCGTCTCGCTTTGTGGTTAACCCGAATTTACGAACTACTTACTTCATGATCTTAAAATATCTACCTAGAACATGGGGAACCGTGTTAACCAAGGGTTCGATAGAGCAGTATCGTATCTCTTGGTAGTCATTAGGTTTAAACTTCCGAATAAGAAAGGCGAAGAGGACGAGTCTGCTGTCTCGTCAACGACCAATCTAACCCAGACCTGTACCCCGGTTCGAATCGAGCATTCGCTCCCTGTATGAATCTGACACAAATTGTTATCAACAGCATTGCGGCGGTTATTCTAGGTAAATTCAGTCGCGAGATCAATCGCGCCTCATTGTTTGATTCGCGGATCGAACGGATGAGATATCACGATGGGGAACCCGCACAAGATCATTCTACAAGTTAGATGTTAGAGACTTATTTTCTATTACGAGGAGTGAAAGGATTAGGTAGATTCATGGCGTTACCCCATTAAAGGCAGCTGGCAACGTGTAGATGGGCCTATTGTTATATAATTGTTTCATGGTGGCAGTGCAGTTCGAATCCATCGCTGAAGATATACCGAAAAGCAATAGAAGGATTCGTTGGAGATTTGGGGAGTTCACGGACACAGAAGCCCGAGTCGCATTCATCTTCCAACCTCAGCTATAGTCTTGTTTACATTTACTCGGATTGGATTCTTCACGATGAGTTCTATAAAGGTCTAGATCGAATCTAGGGTTAATGTTGATAGATTGGCGGATTGATGGATTGATGGGAGGGAGGTATTAGTGGCTGTAGTTTGACGAATCGTATGTAATCGTATCATATATGTACATAGGTAGGATGAGGATCAGTTAACGTTCGTATTGGAAGCACGTATTATTTTTATGCACCTCTTCGTACCTACCTACCTAGCGTACATCTAAAATATACGCCAATAGGAAGCAATAGAAAACGTGCTTACCTTATATTTAGTACGTACCTACAAGTTATAGAGGATGTACCTGCCCCCGACATCTCAACCGTATCTAAACTCCGGACAGCCGCTAAGCTTCAAGCTTCAATCTTCACTTCAACACAATATCAACCAACTGTCTCGAACAACTCTCCAGGTCGAGTACAACAACGTCTCCGCGAAATTTAAAATAAAGGATCCTGTTATCCCTCTCGATAATTGTTACCTGCAACGGCATTAATTTGCTTCATGCATCCTTACGTTCTCCTACATCAGCCAAGCAAAGCCACCCCGTATTTCTCTCTATGGACATCATCTAAAACTTGATGGCGCGGTAACCTAATGCGCACAAGCAAGCCACCCGTCGTCACTGTGTAGCGCGACAAAGCCGCATTTATCATTTTAATATCTACTGCTTCAACTTTATCTAGTATGTAGCCTCCTCGTCCGTATCTTATTCGTGCATTCGCATCTTGATCATCTCTGATTTATACGTTCCTTGTTAATCGACCGCCTCTTACCGCAAGTCCTCCTCGATGAGTCGGGATACTGGATAATGCCGCAACGATAAAGCTCAGCTCCATGTCGGACTGCCTTGGTGGTACGTTGCATCTCGACACGACGAGGCTTTCGATATTGAACTAGGTAGCCATAATTCGAAGTGGAGTCATCACGCTCACTCAACCATGCTCGTAGTCGGGCAGTCGACAATATACACGCCGGTGCCGGGGAATTTTAACGGGGCTTATTTAGCTTGATCTACGACAATGGCGTATCACAGATCCTCGGAGAATATCAACCCCTGAATCTGCTTTTCCCGCTCAGTAATAACTATATGCGATTCAATTATTAGGCTCACCGCTATTGAGCACTAGGGCGCCCTTGAAGCACCACGGTAACCAGGCGTATGGCGGACTGGTGCGTATCGATTCATCGATTCAGCCCGACATGTGAAAGCTTAACCGATAAAATTATTACTATCCAGGGCACATATCCCTACTGCTAGGCATAATCCCACTTGGACCCATCTCGAATGGTAAATGCTCGCGGGGGGGGTTCATATGTCAGATGTTCTAGCCGACATAGAAGATGTTATGATGCTTCCTCTTCGCCCTTGAAATTTGCTGGAGCACCGGCGGCACGAATATTTTCCGGCAGCAAGGTCAAAAGCATGGCCCGTGGATGCGAGAAGATGCTACATGGCCCCCACTGTCGGTTCAGATTCAATGCAATGCAATGTAGGTACGACGCATTGCTGCTGACTTCGTTTGGCGGCTTCTGCGCAACATCAGAGACATTACACTGCAATTACGACGCTCGCTAGCCAGTAAAATATCAAGCATCCTACATCCATTTCAGTCGTTTGCTACCGTCTTATCTTATTTCAGAAACCCGAAGCCCGATAACCAATAATCCTAAAAATAAGCTCTCAGCATTAAAATTAGCGACGCCAGTTGACTTGAAGTAAACTTCTTACATCCGTCATCTAAATGAGGATTTGGAGCGTTGTTGGCAGAAATACCACCCTATTCCTTACTAGTTACCTATTAGTCATGTGAACATTAAATCCAGTGTTCTTATAAGACATCACTATATTTTGTACACCAATATGTCGACATTCTACTACCCCGACGCGAAATATCCTAATACGGCAGGTCCTCAGAGGACATATGGGCACCGTCTCTAGCTCGTAAGTTTAGCACGGAATTCATGGTTGACATCTCTTGGCTGCAACCGCCCAGAACCTCCTATTCGGACAAAAGGCTAGCCCTAAGAAGAAATATGAGGCTAGAGCCTTTTAAGGGCCGTCGCATGCACCGTTTACGACCTCAAGCTGGTTCGTCAAAGTGGACTGGCAACGTTCCTGTCCCGCCATAAAGCAAGATGGATGGGCGTTGGTTAGGCATACGGTAATGACTTCATATCTTCAGGTGTAATACCCGCCCATACATGATGGGCCACGCCTTGCTGACAGCTCGGCCTTGGAAGGTAACCACGAGGCCAGCTAGAAGGCAGAGAAATTTATAAGAATCCCTAGCATCGGACCTTGTTCCTCTGTATGATTAGATTGCGGGGTAGCACGGCATATAGTAGTAGCTCCCCATGGGAAGGCTTACCGACAGTTGGGGCCATTCCGTCATCCCGAGGCCACTTGGGCGGCTGGACCTTGTGTGGCACACTCTATCCATGAAGGCGGCATCTAATCGGCGCAATTTACGCGGAATACTAACATATATCGTGAAACTAGTCAGAGGGACCAGGAAGAGGGATTGTGAAAAGGCTTGGACGCGCGGCGCCAATGCAACGCTAAGATCCCATGATCTTCGTTTAAAAACGCTCTGTTTTACTCCTCATGTGCGATATCTAGTCGACCTAGTCGACCCAGTCCGGAAGTTATCGACGCTTTCCCCGGATTGTCGTGAGCTGGAGAAGTCCCCGATCCTGGCGGAAAACTTGGCACAGGTGAGAATAAGACTGTTAAATCCTTGACACGTGAGGCCGTTGGCCGTTGGGGTGATGGTCACAATCTCGCGCCCCGCGCTGCCCCTCCCCCTCGGACCCGGCGACCACTACGTTACCGCCGGGTACTCAATTCAACCAAAATTTACTCCTAGGTTCTACTCCTAGGTGTATGTGTTGTCAGCGCATTCTATTAGTACGGCATAGAACTTGTATGACTCAGACTATGGAGTGCTATAAGTTGCCGTGTCACATATTACCTTACATTTGAACACTGAGCACCTATACATTAGGACTGTGTGTGTATTGTATTATCATTAACTAACCCTTAACTACGATTCTATGAACGAAATCTATGGTAATGCTAAAGAAGACATTAGGTATTAGAGCTCTACTCTTCTTTGTCTCAGTTGTCGATCCCCCACACATCAGCTGGGTTGGGGTTTATACAGGGTTCACCAGAACAATAAACCGTTGAAATCGATTTATTTTAGTGCTTGACATTTGAACAACTGCACAACTACACAACTACACCGACTATTGGACTCCTTCCCTCTGCGGAATACAATAGTATCGGACTAGCCAACCAAGATTCATGTAAGGGACTACCAAGCCTCAAATGACAGCAGAGACCGTGCAGACGCATGACACGAGATCTCGAAAGCCAATTACGGGGAAGATACAACACGGTATACAGATGAGAATTTAGCACTGTCCAACGCCAAGCTTGATTCCCCAGAATCGGGGGCTACCATAATGCCGCCTAGAAAGGCTTGGAAGCCGGGAACAGCGGGAGCTACTTTGCGTCCGTCTATATACATAGACCAGCTGCGAAGCGGCGCGGCCTAATGGCCCGAATCTAAAGCCTCTAAGCTACCGAGGCCCCCAAGCTTCGTGAAAGTGCCGGCCACAATGCCAATATACACATGTGAGCTTATTCCCCCGGGAACATGCAGGCATGCCATGAGAAAGAAAATTTTTTCAGGGCTGTGACTATCACAGAGTAAGTACTAGAGAGCAGCAATATGCATACTGTTCCTTGGCGAAGTAGACCAGGAATAGACCCTAAATGACAGGTTGACTTTGACTTTAGAGAAATAGTCTATCCCTTCAAATAACTCTAGCTCGATTCGTTATGCGCTGTGTCTCGAATAGGCAATAGTGTTAAAGGGCGGCGAAATTTACTAGGGGTCTAATAGAGCTCCAGAGCTATATATGCTGCTCTAGCATTAATGAGCTTTTCCGGACCTGCATTATGACAGCGTGGTAGCTTGACGTGGCGGCGTAACACGCGCTTATCTTATTCACAGCCGGGGAAAATAAACACGTCCTAAGATTGTTGTTTTCGTTCTCAAACACAAGCAAATACGGGTTCGCGGCGGCTGGCTGCGGTACCTGAACCCGCAGGTAAGAATGTTCGACATCGAATCTGTTATGACTATCACTGTGTACAGGTGAATCTACGAGTGATACAAAATATCAAGATCAGAAACAGCGGCTCTAGACGGCTGAGCGCCTCGATTCAATAATACCTAGGTAGGTAGTGTAGGTTACTGCATCATAACAACGTGCCCGTTCCCTCTGGTATTTTTCAAACGGGCCGCAGATCTCCTTCCTCTTCCGGGTGAGACCTATGGCCCTACCGGCACATTCCGGTCTTGTTCAATGACCAGGTAAACGACCAGGTAAACAACGCTCTCCACAGTTACCTAAACCCCATTCCATGGAAGGTGGATTGCCCGGTATCCGTCATAACTCCCTGAGCTCTTAGCTAAGTCTATACGGATTGTACATACATAGTAAGTCTATGATGGTGCTAACGATCCTCATTTCGCACGCGGTCTCTTTAATTCCAACAAAGCTGATTCCTGTTTACCGCGTGCTAACTAGCTGTCCTTTGTTTTAGATCTTGGACTTACTGGCTTGTGACCCACCGAGCAGTCCCTTGATGCCATTGCTACCATAAACTAATATGTCATCACAAAGGCCCGAAGCACCACAGCTTCACGAAGCTCCTCGAGCACGTCTTGAAAAATGATAACTGGCTTCGTTTATAGGTATACCATGACTATGTAGTTGTATATGAGGTAGGCCAAGATTGAATAGAGCTGGAATACGCCCCAGCCTAGGTGGTGACCTGATCATGCATGGTAGCATATACTCGGTCTCATGACTACTTTCTTTTCTCTCTATCCCTAGCCTTTGCTTAATGTCCCCCCTCAGTTCCCTGTCCGCGTTGTACTTCCACACATCTGCGAAACCTTCCTTATTTGTCCACCCATCTGATCCTGCTAGCTTGGACGCCTCCAGATCCTAGATTGGCCTGCATATCTCGTACGGAGATAAGTGGTTTGTGATCTTATTCAAATATCAACCTTCGTTCCCAACTTCGAGCACAGCTTTTGTATC